ACAAAGTGTGTGACAATATTTTTAAAGTGTTTCAAAGGATGATAGTCATTGAAGGTAATAATAGCCGCTAATAACGGTTGAGCGACTTCAACATGCGCAGCAAACGACGGTTAATAATCAGAACGTGACGACAAAGGGGGGGGGGGCTCAAAAAGCAGCAAAGTACTCGCAAGGGCTACTTGGCTGCAAGTCGATCCGAAGACGCGGTTAGCAAGCGATGGGGGTCTTGGTTAGCGCGGCGGTGTGCTCGGCCTGGTTCGTCAAGTTGTCTGGCGTCGTCGGGGTGTCGACAACAGGTGCGTTTGTGGCAGGCGAATCCGGGCTGGGAGCCGACGTCGATGGGCAGTTGGACGGCACGTAGACTACCAGGTCGGCCTTCAGGTTGGAACCGACACCGACCGGCAGTTGGCACTCCTCCAGGTTCATGGCCTTCACGTCAGCGAGCAGGGTGGTGCAGGCAGTCGAGGCGCACATCTTGTCAATGGTGGCCTGGTCCGGGATCTCAGTGGTCCGTGCCGCACTGTTGAATGTTCGCGCTCGTGAGCAGAGCGGACAAGACACTGCTTCCGCAGGTGGCAGCAGAGGCCAGATAGGCGAGCGCCCTAGCTGCAGAAGGAGTAGCCGCAATGGTCCATGATGCTTGGCTGCAGTAGTGGAGATTCAGAAATGGTTGGTGTGCCCTAGGACAATAAGTAAAGCCAATGTGAGTTTTAAGTAACTCTTACGTAAATTTACGTAGATAGTCAGGAAAAAGTTAATATGTGAGGTTTAGGACAATCTGGAGGACACAAATTATAATATTCTGTAACGAAGGATTAGTCGCTTTTTAGGACACATCTCCAAAATCTCCCTGTAAAATTTAGGACAAATAGGACAGTTTAGGACGTGTCTTAGGACGCATTATCCTACACCACTACTCCAACTATTTACATGAATTCTACTGAGCTGATTCGTCACTACGACTAAACAGGGACTAGCCGATCAGTCACTACGACTAAACAGGACTTGCTGATCAGTCACTACGACTAAACAGGACTTGCTTTTTAGTCCCTAGGACTAGACAAAGTGGTTAACGGGAAAGTCCTGCTTCAAAACAAAGAATAAAACAATAGCTCGGGTGATGGCACTGTACGGTAGTCAAGCTGACCGCCGCTACGAATCGCAAGTCGACTTACATCGGTGTTTTACTTCAAAAACAAAATACTAAAGGCTTTTCCAGGTGCTAATAGTAGTTTTAAGCACGCTCCGGTGGATTTAATTTTCCTCCGGGTTTTCACAACAAAGGATCTGATCTGTGAAGCTGAGGCTCATAGGATCATCAAGTCTGTAAAATCATCGTTTTAGGTGGGCTGTTCTTTAAAAAAAAAGAATTTAATTCTAAACACAGGGTTTGGCAAAAACTTTATAACGCAGACCAAAGTTTAGCTCGTCTAGCGCATTCCCAAATCTAGTTTCATTTCTTATTTTTTTAAAAAGATAGATTTTGGACGTTTTAGTGTAACATTAGTAAAAAATAATCTTTTTGGAGAACCACATTGTTTAGTTTTAACACTGTTTACAGTATTAAAAGCAGGGCCTGCACCAATACCGAATGATTGGTTTTGGTTTGTTTAAGATAAGGACGTCATTCCAAATCTAACAGGGTACGCCCCTACATCGGTTTGCCACTTTGCAATTCACTCGTCAGATACCAGGACCAAGCCACAGCACATCGCAAATTAAATCACGACGATGCATCTCTCTTTGGCCTTATGGCTGATGCCTGTCGTTGTCCTTGCATGTGTTGCGAGTGCTTTGGAGGACATCACCTCAACACACACCTTTGTGGACAAGCAAAACAATGACCCTGATTTAAGGATCTTGCGTGCCTACGACAGCGTGATTGAAACTGGTGAAGAGAGAGTCAACTTGCGAAAAACGGCAAACTCACTCGTCGAGTCTGCTAAGCTGAAGTTTTTTTGCTGAATAAAATGAGTGGGGTCGACGTTCTGAGCAAATTAAAGCTCGGAGATGAAGCTTCGGCTGCGTTGAAGAGCTCCAAAATCGAGGCTTTGACACAATACATCACGATGTTCAACAACAAGAACCCGGACAAGAAAATCTCTCTCATTGGGACTCTCACCGCCCGATATGGAGATGATAAAGTGGCGAAGGCGCTAGTGGCAGTGGAAAAAGATGGAGCTGCTCCGAAGGTGATGGAGCTTGCAAAGAAGTTGCGGGCTGACCAACTGTCTGCTTGGTTGGATGGTGGTAAATCTGTCGACGATGTTTTCCTTTTACTCAAGCTTCATGCCTATGGACCTGGAGCGCTCGGAAGTCGAAAATTGGACATACTGGATGATTACATTGTGAAAGTCAACAGTGAGGAAAACAAAAAGTAACTTTGCTCAAGACGTTGGCAAATGGATTTAGCGATGTAAGTGATTTGACAAGATATATAACCTTAACAGAATACAACATCGTGTCACATGTGAAGGCCGTCCAACTGAAGAACCTCAGACAGTGGCAAGGCAATAACTTGGAGCCAGCAGCGGTCATGAAGCTGCTTAATCTCGATGGCAATGTGAAGAATGCTGTGAAAAGCATAGAACTGAGGAGATTGGACGATTACATTACCGAGTTCAATGTGAATAATCCGAGCAGTCAGGCGACGCTGCTCGGGACGCTCACGGCAAAGTATGGAGAGACAAATGTGGCGAAGGCGATCGTGTCTGCTGTGAGGGACGATAATATGCTTGCCACGCGGTTGCAGAAACAACAGCTGGATGGATGGCTGCAAAAAGACAAGTCAGTGGACGAGGTTTCCATGCATCTGAAGCTAAATGACCCTAAAACTGCAGTCCTTAGCCGCAATGTCGAAACATTGGATAAGTACATCACGCTTTACAACGGCAAGAAAAAAACACAAAAAACTCTGGTAGAGCCATTTCTGAAGGCGTTCGGCGAGCCTCGATTGGACACAATGCTAAGCAAAATTCCTGCTAACAGTAAGGAAACAAATGCTGCGAACCTACTTACACAATTCCGTTTCTGGCAGTTTAAACATCCACGCCTTCGCCGGAATGTCCTATGAAGCTGAGGGCTGTCTGTTAAGAACCGTGATTCGTATTATTAGGCATCCAAGTCTAGGATTGAATAATTGAATCACAGCAATGATGGATCATTTTCACTCGATTTAGCTAAATACTACTAGTAGTATTACGCTTGCCTTTTAGCGACCTTTATTTTCAGAATAAACTCTGTGCATTCCAGCGTCTTCGCACGTACGAAAGCGCGCGGTTGGTAAATCCTGATTCAATGCCTCTGTTAGAATGCATCAGCAAGAGCTGAGTCCGCTCATGATCATTGAGCATGAGGTGAAAGCTCTCCACGTGGATCAATATCATTTAATACGTAGGCCGCAACGAACCAAAAATGTGCTGATTTGCCATCTTTTTCTTCTTTTTGCTGCTTAAGTGAGGTAAAATTGTTCCACAACTATCGTCCGGTCAGCCCGTTTTGAGCGGATACGGTGGAAAAGGAGCACGTGCACTTAATTTAGAAAGAGGAAGCTACCTTGCGACTATTTCGAAATGAAGCATTACCAAAACAATACAGAGCCTTTAACCCCTCCAGGCATAACGCAGTTTAGATTTGAAGGCTTAAGCTGAATATGTTCAGTTTAAGCAAATTTAATCTTAACCCCTTGAACGCGAGAGCGTGGACCGTACATGTTTTCACGATTTTCTTAACGTGTACGGTCCACGTTAAGGATTTTTGACGCAAAGTTTGTATGGGACTATACAAAGTTGAAGTCAACCAGGGTTAGGTGCCATACCCTTTCCCTCCCGAGTGAATCCTCATTGTGAACAAGGACAGATCATGAGGACATAAGCATGCCAACATTCAGAAAGAGAGTGCCAACATATCGCATATGATATTTGATGGGCGTGAATCCAGCCGCCACTCATTTCTCCCTCTCACTTTCAGAATTGCCGGCTTGGCAGCGAATGGCCTTTCAAGCGCGATGGCGCGAGCTTGCACGAGTGGGCTGGAAATCCCAGCAGTCGACTGGACTGTCCTACGACATCATCTACATAATGCCGGGAAAGAAGAAGCGGGGAGGGGTGCGTGGGCGTGATTACTTCGTGGGGGAGGATGACCTGATGGAGTACTTGGATCGCGCGGACCTTGGTACGGCTAACATTACGTCAAATATGCTTCTGTCCTAATACTGCTGTATGTGCTATCATATTAGAGGAGCTGAAACAGCGTCACATGCAGCAGCAGTCTAAGTCGCCAAAAGGAGGGGAAAGTGGATCAGGCGGAAACGTGAATACGGCAGTGGAGACACAGCAGGTCGATCGTGGTCAGCTCCAGATGATCCACCCACTCCATCTTGTTCCATACACTGCTTTGAACGATGGGAGAGATGCGTCACCGACTGATGGAGGTACGGTTTCAATTACTCTGTACGTACACGTTTAGAGATGACGCTAATCGTGTATCTGCTGTATGTGTCGCTACAGAGCACTACATTGG